CTAAATATTGAAAACAGTTTTCATTGATAGCCTTAATATTAGTAACTTAGAGAAATAAATTTCATATGTGAGTTCTTGTTCCAATAAGAATATGTGCTCCTTGATTTAGAATGGGCTAAAACATTGTAAACTGAAAATGTACTAAATGCACCAACCAAACATTATTACTTGAACAAACAGTATACAATAGAGTATTGACTGTATGCCCTCATGGTCATGTGACTACTGACTGTAAAATGTTGCAAGATGCCACTGCCCTGAGTCTCCAGAGAGTATATATTGTGATCAGCATTCCAAAGTTGCAATACCCATTTCTATTGACCATGATTACTTTAGAATCTTCTGTTGGTCAAAGATATTTATGATTGGCACAGTATCTTTAGTAGATGCTTTTCTTGGGAGTTTCTGTGCGTTTTCACAAAAGAACCGTCCTGCTGCTTTCTAACCTTTCACTGGAGAGTACCCATCTCTACCATCTAAAATCTGCCCACAATCTTTGTTTTTCAGGCAGGTCTGCGTAAAATGGTTGTGTATAGAGGACTGTGAACCTTTTAACATTTCAGATGGGGTATGAAAAATAATATTTAAGTGTAAGTAATATTGATATGGGACCTACAATCTGTATTTCATTAGATAAGTCTATCTGCTTCTTACCTTTGCTTTATAGGAAAACACCAAGCAAATAAACCAAATACAATATGAAAGGAATAACATGCCTTTCCTTTTTATTCTCCCCTTCCTCTATTCACCCCCTTTCCCTTCTTCTTTCTCTTTCTTCCTCCCTTTTTCCTCTTTATTTTCTCCCTCTCTCCTCCCCCATCTTTCTCTCTTTAACTATGTCTTCCTTTCCAAAGCAAAAATTATTGGCACGCCAAGTTCAGTTATGAAGAGAGAGGGTAATAAAACAGAGACGCCGTGTTTTTGCTCTCAAGGGCTTCATTTCAGGTCTATTTTGAAATGAACATCTTAGCAGTGCTGTGCTTTTGTGTTGGTTTTGCAAGAAGGTACTATTACAAGAAGAAATTGAACTCTGGGGAGTAAGATGGAAAAGTAACGAGAACACATCCCCACCTGAAGCTCCCTGCTCCCCAGAAGAAGCTATTCTCATGATGTCTTTATTCTACACACTGTAGAATGCAGAGGCATTGCATTCTAGTGGGAAGAGGGGATCAGCAATCTGATGGCTTTTTATTTTCCAATTTCACACTAAGGAACATGATCATCCAGCGATTTTTTTCTTTCTCTGGCTTATACTAACAGGAATGCAGGGATTACAGAAAATAATTGCATAAATGGTTACTTCCTGCCAATATAAAATGTCACCGAATACAATGGCCAGGCCTTTTCTTAAATGATCGCTGACTTTTTGGTCTGACCCACGAAGCTAAGTCATATAAGCTTCTTAAAGCTGGAAAAACAATCTTTTGAGATGAAAATGATGGCAGTTTCAAAGCGGGCTTGATACCTGATTTTGACATCCTGTTGAGTCCTTGGGTATAGTATAGTGAAGTTTAGAAAATTCCTCTCTTAGTGGTTATTCAGGTAGTCTTGTCCATTTGTTTCGTTTTTATATTTTAATAGTTAGCCACTTATTGTTTGGCAATATCTAGCGTGAAACAAGATATCCTAATATCATATCTTCAATTCTTAATAATGAAGTCTTATAGAAAATAAAAAAGTAAATAAAATCCTCAGGGAAAGCCTTAACAACAGAATGGGCCATGTAGAAAATAGAGTATCAGGGATGGAAGACAAAATTGAGAAACTGAATCATTCAGAAAAGGTCAGTGGTAAACTTACAAAACTCAAGACCATGGAAAAACTTTGGAATGCCACGAAAAGGCCTAACCTCAAATCATGAACACAGGAGAAGAATACTGCTGTAAAGGCATAGAGAATATTTTTAATAAACTCAGAAAGGAAATTCTTCCACATCTAGAGAAACAGATTTCCATCCACATACAAAGGGCTCACACAATTCCAAACAGACAGGACCAAGATAGAAACTCCTTATATAATATTATGATAAGCTCACAAAATCACAATATAAATAAAGGGTATGGAAAGCTTCAATAGATAAAGGTCAGGATACTTAGGAAGGTAGGTCTATTAGAATGATACTTGAGTATTTGACAAACTTTAAAGTTGAAATGACCTAGAATGTAGTTCTTTCTAGATAGTTACTAACTTCTTAAATATTACAAGTGTCAACCCAGACTATTATACCCAGCAAAACTATTAAAATAGGAAACATAAATGCTTCCACAATAAAAATAAATCAAAGGGATTTATGACCAATTATCAAGGTCTACAGAGAATATTGAAAGAATACTTCAGTCTCAAGGGAAGAATAAATGTACTCAAAAGATTAATTAGTAAACAAACACCACCAGAACAGCTATTAAAAGAAGTCAAAGAACACATCACCAAGTCACCAAAAATGATAGTAATCAAAACACACATTTCAATAATTACTAAATATATATAGTCTCATTTCCCTAATAAAGAGACACAGACTTGCAGATTAGATCAGAAAACAGTATCCATCTTATTATCAATGGTAGACACTATTCTGTGGTTAAAGAATGAAAAAACGGCATCCCAAACAAATGGATCTTGAAATCAGAAAATACATAAACTCCAGGTTCTGGCTATTATGAAAAATGTTGCTGTGAAGATAGTTGAGCAAATGTCCTTGTGGTGTGGATCTGCATTCTTTGGGTATATGCCCAAGAGTGGTATTCCTGGGACTTGAAGTAGATTGATTTCTAATTTTCTGCCAAAGCATCATACTGATTTCCAAAGTGGTTGTACAAGTTTGTACTCCCACCAACAATGGAGGAGTCTTCCCCTTACTCCACATTCTCTCCAGCATGAGCTGTCATCAGTGTTTTTGACCTTAGTCATTTTGATAGGTGTAAGATGTTATCTCAGGGTTGTTTTGATTTGCATTATTCTGATGGCTAAGGATGCTGAGCAATTCCTTAAGGGTCTTCCAGCCATTTGAAATTTCTCTGTTGAGAATTCTCTGTTTAGATCTGTGCCCAATTTTAATTAGATTATTTGGTATTTTGGATATCTAGTTTCTTCAGTTCTTTATATATTTTGGAATCAGCTCTCTGTCAGGAATGGGGTTGTGAAGATCTTTTTCTAATATGTAGGCTGCCATTTTGTCTTGTTGACCATGCTATTTGTCTTACAGAAGATTCTCAGTTTCAGAAGGTTCTATTTTATTAATTACTGATCTCACTCCTGTGCTACTGGTGGTATACAACCTAGATGCCTCTCAATTGAAGCATGGATAAAGAAAATGTGGTACATTACACAACATTAGTTAGCCAACCATAATTCCTATAGAAATTGCAGAGATGTGTGATATTTTCAATATGGTGGGCACTGAAGTATTAGAATATTTCTTGCTTTGATGGAATTTAATAAATGAATTGGTGTCTACCTCTTTTGTAGCATGTGAAAAAGCACTTTATGTTTTCATTAACTCAAAAGTATTTTTAGTAGAAACTAAAGGTAAACCATAGAAAAAAGTACTTATGGCATCAACTTTTCTTAAGCAAACATACAACAAATATTATTTTGTAAAATCATTTTATAATATATTACTATCAAGCATTTATTAAATGCTACTATGTAAAGTATTATATGCATATTTATGAATACACTTCTATATAAATGTTTTCTATATCAATATGTCATCTATGTATTATCTGCCATCTATCTGCCTATTATCTCCATCTATCTATCTATCTATCTATCTATCTATCTATCTATCTATCTATCTATCATCTACCTATCTATCTGTCTATCTATCTATCTATCTATCTATCTATCTATCTATCTATCTATCATCTATATCTATCCATTGATTTGTCTGTCAACCAGTCCATCATCTGTCTAACTGACTATCATTGCTATCTATCTATTTACCATCCATTTATCTCTCATGTTTGTTTCACTATAACTGAGCCATTGGGCAGCATCTGCACTGAAAATGTAGTAATAAACAGTTGATAGTGTGTACATGATAATAACATGCAATGCAGATTCCTTTCTATAATATAAAATACAAAAAATGTCTCTATTACTGGTATGAAATAGAGAAGTGCATTTATCTATCTCTCCTTATCTTTATCAATTATGCTCTTAATTTGAAATCATTTTTTTTCTTTAGAATGCATAGTCTCATTCTGTTCCCTGGCTGGCATCTAACTCTTGGCACTCCTGCTTCAGCGTCCCTTGAACTGGAAGTACAGGCATGTGCCACTCTCCTAGATGGAAGTTGCATAAATATTTATTGATGACAGATCATAAGAATAGAAGTTAAGTGTCTTTATACAAGAAGGAGCCAAGTTACACTATGGACTTACTGATTTATACAACAGAACTTGACCAGTGAAATGTAAACATGGGCAAAGAAGAGTTCTCTTGGGCAATTGTATGGAAAGGGCTGTGATGAACTGAGATAGTGTAGAGGAATCAATTGAAGCAAGTCTTCCAAACAATGCAGTTTTATGTATTTAATGAGCCCGGGGGCAGGGGCTATGACAAGAGTTTGGGTTATAAATATTTTAGAGCCATAAAACAGTTCTGGAAGGCCTTGTGGATGATTTCATGTTCAATTTTCATATCAAGTTAATGGAGCAGCTAATGACAGAAAACAATTTTCTGATTTCTAGGACTGATTATATTATTCTCTAATTATCACTAAATCAGATTAAATTCTGCCTTGTGGCTTTATTCTGGCGAGGACCGATAGTTTACCAACTTCCAGTTCTTATCTTCATGGAAATACTTTACATATCTTGCTTATTTTTTTCTCAATTAAACCTACTTATGAGGCATTTCTCAGACCTCTCTATTCATTCTGAAGATTCATGTATTTCCATTATAATAATTTCTAGTTCTTTAACGCTACACAAATGTCTCTGAGAGGTCCTATGATTCTGCAATTTGCTTTATTTGAAGTTTTTCAAGTCAGCTCTTACCTTGCTTCTCAGGCTGATCTTCGTCAAGATCTTGAACCTCCAGGCTCAGTCCTTCCTGCAGCTGGGTTATAGAATCGTGCAGTCGTGCCTGGCTTCTTTTCTATGAGAACAATTTAAAGACACTGTTCATCAAGTGCAATGTATCACACTTGCCTTTCTTTTTCTAACCTGCCATTTAACCCTTAGAGTGACATTACAGCAAGTTAGGGCTCTCAGTTTATATGTGGGAGAATGGAGGCAAATGAAGACGGAATCCTTTATCGCAATGAAACAATCGGCAAGTGATAGTACTTGTAAATTTACCAAATAAGAACTTAGACATGGACTGACCCTTTCAACCCACATTCTTCTATGCATGCTGCTGTCAGAATGGTTTATTTTCCATCTCTTCTATTGCAGTTTAGGTGACTCCCATGTAGGGTTATACGTTTTCAAATACTGATCCAAGGTTTCTAGCATTATACTTGGTTTTGATTATCCAGGTGTTCATCTATGCCTAGATAAATGATTTGTTCTATGAGTGTTTGTTTGGTAGCAGTTTAGGGCAAAGGGGTGCTGGCCCTAATGGTATGGCTGAAGAAGGTTTAGGAGAGCACTGCTATCGGACAGTTGAGTCTCTTCACCCAGTTACTAGTTACGTCATATCTAGTCTGTTCTGTTACCTGCCCTTTAACACAGACCGTTTACCAGAAGTAAACCAATCTTACAACGATCATCTTTCAAATGACTTTGAGAAAGACTCAAGGCATCAATTATTCAACTTTATTGCTTCAGCCACTAAAGCGTGGTTTGCTTTAATGAGCTGCCAACTTGGATGGAGAGAAAATACTCTTGGCATTACCAGAAAGGGGAGAACTTTGGGAGCTGGAAAAAAAAAACTCCACCCCTTGGCAGCTCCAGTTAAATAGCTAGCTTTTAGATTTCCATGTTTCATGAAAGTCTCTTATTGACAATTTGCAGTGGGATATTTGGTTCCCCCCCTTTTTTATCATCAGTTTGTATTAACACAGTGGCACACAGTGTTGCTTCATGTCAAAGAACTAGGCTAAGCTAGATAGAGGACCGTAGTGGTCTGGTTTGTGCTGGCGATAGTAACAATCCAGAGAGAGGCAGGCCACCAAATCAAACTGTGCAGGGGGAATATTTTACAATGGCACAGATATTCAGAAGACGTGATTTGAACAGCATAAGCCAGAATCCTTTCTGTGCTATCTGTGGGGCAACGCATGACTAAGATTCCATTTGAATAGAGATAAATTACTCTTTAAAAAAATTAGGGCTGTTATTATCAATGGAAACAAAATGTACTAAGTGCATCTTAAAAGAACACTCCAGAAAGGTAAGGTAATAGCTATTTGATTCTTCATGAAGACTTTTATCTCCCATGCTATTATTTCGATGGTGTATTCTGTTGCCTCAGGTCAATCCCCCTCACAATGTTGTTGAATCCTTCCCCATTTGAAGAAGTACAGGAAACTCAGTCTGCCTTACATGGTTTTGTACTTAGCTGTGAAGGAGAGAAGGGCACAGCAGTGTAAGATTTAAGGTAGTTGAAAGCAAAGAATTCAGAAGGTGACTTCAAAGCCATGAGTTCTGTTTACACTGAGGACAAAAATGAAAGAAATTTGTTCCTTAGAAGTATCTGAAAGGAGATTCAGTAACAATAGACACCTCAATGCCAGAAGTCACCAACACAATCAGGGGGAGATTCCCACTGCAGTTCCAAGTTCTCTTTCCTGCATGCTGGTAACATTATAAATAGTTTGCCAAGATGGTGATGCAAAGTGGAAGCTGACGGACTGAAACCAACTTGACAAAGAGTGAACATTGGTCATGGCATATAAGCATCAGAGTACCGAGATGTTGCAAGAAGGGAAATTTAACATAGGTCTTTATACAGCTATTTCTACTTTGTACCGTTTCTTGCAAGTCTTGTATTAGATTTTTGTAGGATATTTTTGATATTATACTTGCCTTGTATGATAAGAAGACTAATAGTATTTAAAATAATTAAATATTAATAAAATTCAGATATTTTGCCTGCTTTTGATTGAGTTACTTATCTTCATAATTATTGAGTTGTACGCGTCTTTTTAATATATGTTTTAGATACAAAAGCATTTAGAAACATGATTCTCAAACGTTTCTTTCTATGCTGTGTCTTTACTTCACTAAGGGTGTTATGAAGGGCAAAGGCTTTCATGCCATTTATTAAAGCATTTTTTATTTATGTTTGTTGTTGTAAAATTGTTGTACAGTCAAACACCCTTGATGTTTATGTCTTTTTTCCTAAGCCTTCTACAGCTTGAAATTATTGAACTCATAGTACAAATCAAGTGATTTTTTTGTGAATGGTGTAACATACGGGTTCAGATTAACCTTCCTCCATACTAACATCTTTCTGTCCTGGGACTATTTGTTGAAAAAATGATTCTTTCCTTTCTTACCTTGGCACTAGTAACCAGTTTCTTTTAGAACACAGTCTCACTGAAAATCAACAGACATCCATATCTATGCAATAGCTGAACTCACCATGTTGCCAAAAGCCATGACTGAATGCCAAACAAACCTTTCTGATACACAAGACACCAGGGCTAAGTCCTGCCACTGTAGTGATGCATCTAAGTGCAGGGCAGTGGCTAAAGGGAAAGATGTTAACTGAGCAATAGCACAACGTATGCATACTTATGACCAGTGGTAAGCACCAAAATGAATTTATTACTTAAATCTGCGGTTCATAACTAAAGCTACAATCATCCGTTCTTTCCTTACATAGAACTGTAAGTTTTGTATTACTTTTATACTTTCAAATTTGGAAACTACTAAGTAATTTCAGGTGGGTTGGTTGTGAAAAGAAGCTGCATGACAAAATTTCCATTCTAGTTCAGTGCGGATGGGTTTATGCAGTAACCTACTGCAGTAAGGTAAACAGTGGGCATCTCTCATAGTTGTTAAAAGATGTTTGCAAGTGGGTTAGTCACCTAACTTCGTCCTCAGTCTTCTACCTTAAATGGGTGTGGGGTGGGTCATAGTCTCATAATATTTGTAAGTTTCAATATATGCCATATATATGATATAAAGACAGTGCTTGACAGAGAGTGAGAATTTGCTCATAATAAAGGTATGCTCCCTGCCAGAAGCAATCTTTATTTTCCGGGTTTGTTAATGTTATTTGGAGCCCTGGGAAAAGTACCCAGCTCCTTCTTTGCATTGTATCTTCAAATACCAACTACCAGAATTGTATTAGGTTTGTGAGGAAGGTGTCACATCACTGAGAATTGTAGCCACAGCCTTGACCACTCATGATTGATAAGACAGTGTGGGATATGTAGAAGGTCATTAAGCACCAGAAGCACCTTTGGAAAGCCTGGGTTTGAGCCAATGCTACCTGGAAGTGCTGTAGTTTCAGAGAATCTTGGAGCTGACTTGAAATATGTATAGGCAACCTACAAATAAAACTGGAAACTGGATTTTGTTTAGCATTGTCACTCACAAAATTTAAATAAGTTTAAGAGAAAGTCTTGACAGAACTGCTGGGCAGTGCTGGTGACTGTGAGAAGGCGAATAAGAAGGTAGGAAACGATACAACAGAATTCTCCTTGGTTTCCGAGAAGTTTTCTATGAATAAATTTAATTTCCAGTAACATCTAGGAAGGCTTCCAGAGATGACTAATAATTGATTCTCGATAGAAAAGAACCATTTGGAACTTCTAACTGCTGGCTAGTATGAGCTAAATCTTCAGTCACGTCTCTATCCTATCAAATGAAGACTTTTACTCCAAAGGAAAGAGAAATCTAATCTCTGGGGGTGGGGGTGGGGGGTGGAGGGTGAGGTAGAGGCAATCGTTGAGATGAATTGAAAAAGGTCACAGTTTCCAAACAAAAGTGGAGAATCAAAGCCATCGCTTTCTGTGTGTTTCAGGACTGATGCTCTGCCTCCTACAGCGTCTTTTGAGCTGGATAAGGAGGCTTTGAGGAGGGTGCATCTCTGATGTTCATTAGAGAAGCTGCCGCTCATCTGGTATAGATGCAATGATTTTCCAAAAATTACCTAAAGAAAACTCAGTTTTTGAAGAAATGTATGTATTTATGTTCTAAAAGAAAATCGGTAGGTGTTGTGTGATTTTTTTTTTTACTCCTTTTTTTCTGGCTTTTTGAGGGACTCATCACACAGCTCCCAAATAAATTACACATGGAGTCTTATTCTTAGTTGTGCATACCCGGTGTTAGCTTGGCTTGTTTATAGCCAGCTTTTCTTAACTTATGTTATCCCAACTGCCATTTGCCTCTGGACTTTTCTCTTTCTCCGTGGCTTGTGTGTATCCAGGTGGCTGGTCCCTGATGTCCTCTCCTTGTTGTCTTGTTGCTCCTTGTTCTCTCTCCATCCAGATTTCTATTTATACTCGCTGCTAGCTAGCCCCACCTCTCTTGGCTCCTGCTTTGCTTTAGCCATTTGGGTCTTTATTGGGACCGTCAGGTGTTTTAGACAGGCAAAGATCACAACTTCACAGTTAATCAATGCAGCATAAATAAAAGCAACACACCTGAAAATAATATTCCCCACCAGGCAGGCTTTTTTATACTGTGTCCAGTGTATCCTTTATGAAATTGAAATATAGTGCTATGCATATCTAGGGCAAGTAGTTTAATAAGTAGGGTTAATAACCAGATATTATTTATTGCCACCTAAGTTAATCTTTTTAATTTCATCTTATTTGTCTTTCCATGATCAGAACAGGATTGCTCAATTGGCTTATGTATGAATATCGGGTTGAGGAGAATTCCTTCTGAGGCCCATTCTATCTGTAGGCAGGAACTGCATAACAAATGTTTTCCTAGGAGATGACTGCGATTTCCTGCCAAGGGCCTCGACTCCGTGTTGAGGGCTTGGTCTCCAGTGCAGTAGTGCTCTGAAGGGAGGCGTTGAAGAGGAGATTCCAACCTCAGCAATGTGTTTGCCTACGGATTCTACCTTACTGGGCTATGGGCAGGTGGGAATGAGGGAGGAGGTTACTGGAAACTCGTCTTTGAATGGTTTGTTCTATCTCTTGTCTTCTCGTTTCTCTCTTCACTTCTTTCCTTCTGTGGTGTCAGCGGTGTTC